TAGAAAGCAAATATGAATTCAGGGTCATACTCTTTTTACCTCGACTAAAGCGAAATTATTTTTATTGATATAACAAAATAGAAGGCAGCAAAAATAGTTTTTATTGTGGTGAAATTTTAATTATTGTTCAAGCGCATTTATCAAAGTGAAACATGGAATTATAAATAACTATTTCAATTTTTAAACGGTGGGGAATAGCAGAATAATACAGTGAGGGCCAATTTTCTCTCGGCATCGAAACTTACTTTCGAAAGCATCGATTTGTTTTTTTTTCTATTTCCAAGAAGACACAATTTTCTAGGTGAGTTTAAGCTCACATAATTCAATGGTCATTAAAAAATTGTCTTAATAGTATTATTCTCTGTCCTATCTAAATGAAATGTGCAAGTTAGTAGAAGGCAATTTTTCCGGTAAGAATTTGCCAATATTTGACAAACAGCGAGCAGAAACGTATAATTATAATGCATTCCACTTTCATGAAAGCTTAACCATTAGGCATACATTATGGAAAAATAGGTCAGTCAAGTTAAGGGAGAATGTTGGCATTGTTGAAAGAGTAGAACAAGTAAGTTTTGCAAAAGAATTACCATGGGACATATTATGGAGATCTAAAGAATAATATGATCTGTACGAGTATGAATGATAGAAAGACGAACCAGGAAGAAGTAAAGGGTGATAGAATGTCACTAATCCATCTCACCGCATTGCGGCTGCATTTGAGTATAACTATAGTATGTGCACTGGAAAGTGCATCACCACTAGTTATCGCGATCTCTAGCTCAGTCTTTGTTCTACTCCTGGGGTGCGCAATAGATCAATCTCCACGTGGTGCACCCTGGGCAACGTATACTCATACGGCAAAGAAGTCTATTAACCGACAGTTGACTTCTGACTTCAAACTACTATGGCCCGACTATTTGTCATATTCGACCCCTTCCAAAGTACTCATCTTACCGACTTTACGTCTTTGTGTCTGTCTGTCTGTCTCTTTTACATCTGTGAATCACTCTTCTGTTACCCCTCTCGACTTTTTGCCACTTTGATGTTCCTTCTCCCCTCTGTGAAGCCCCGAAGTCAGCTCCAGGGCTAATGATAACTATCAAAACGCCTGCAATTGATATAAATAAATAAATGTTCTACTCCTCAGTAGTATTGCACTCGGTTTTCATTTTTTCCTTGAAGGACACACACAAAAGCCTCAGTATTTCTTGAAATTATGCAAAATCATGCTGTTTTTGGCTTCATGACAGTTTGTGCAGAAGTGCTGACCTTCAAATGTTTTTTTTCTGAGAATAACTTATATTTGCATAAATATATGCAGAAATTTGATATTTAAAGAATGAGCACAATAGAATGGTCAAATTAATCATTTGTTTTATCGGTCTCAGGAAAGTTTAACCATGTTAGTCACAATGCATATTGTGCAACACAAGAGTGACTAAGACAGGAAAGGAAATTTGATCGTTTTAAGCCATAAGAAATCCCCTTTTCTTAATTGACTCAGACTTTTTACTCGCAATATTTTTTTTCAAAGTCTCAACAAAAAAAATACATTTCAGCTAGAAGTATCGCAAATAATTTCACGCCATCCCATGGGATGTCTCATTCCATTCTCACTCCTCTTTTTACTAGTTGGAAATGCATTGAAGCATTAAAGCTTTCTAATTAATCATTTTGATGTTAACACAGACCATTAAAATGTACCAATATCGCACAATATTTCAAAAATGGGTGAACTTAGTCTGCGCGGAAGACAAAATCCTAATGGTTAAGTAAGTATAAGTTTACTATGGACATTTTCCATTTTTATGTGTGGATAAAATGAAGCACACTGAACTTGTTTGCTTGTAAATTATTGTCTGTTTATTTACGTTACATTTGAATAACCGGAGGTATTGATTTATGAGAGGAGAACTAAGTACTCACTACTTCCGACTGAAATTTAAGACCAAGTTTGGAGCGGGAATAGGATTATTCATTCCAGTTGAAATAGGTGGATCTCAGCTACTAGAAACTGCAAGCACCATAGCGAATTTAATATGGTTTCGTTTATTATTGAATCAGTGTTGAGAATACAAATGTTATCTTTTAACAGTGTCATAATAACTGTTTGGTTTCACTTTGTTTGGCCTTTCAAAATTCCATTCACAGACAGACCTACTATTGTTTGAGTTCAGGGCAATTTGGAGGTCAAATAAGGGGTGGGATGACCCAAGGGACATATATGAAGAACACACCTGATGAACACTGGAACGCAGATTGGCGAAATGTATCAAATACAATTTTTCGAATATTTGGTCACAAATGACAGAACATACTCAGAACAAGAGGAAGCTTACTGCGCGGTGCTTCACAGAGACCCGAATGACTCTATCAAGTTTTAGCTCAGGGAAAAATCTGGAAATCAGGCTCGATTTCGGACTTTTATAATTTGTTTATTATTTTCTATCGCAAAAGATAATGTTTATTTAAAAAGTGTGCAAATTAGTACATAACGACCTTTTTACTAATTAAAAGATTTACTGACCTAGCAAAACTGTCATTTTTCAATGAAACTGTTAAAATGTGATACTTGCTCAGAAATGTTTCACTTAACATTTTTTGAAAACGCAATTTCCTAATTAGTGGTTATTGGATTCGGAAACTATCTCTTTGCGCCCATCGAAGGCAGACCTGAATGGAATATTAAAGTAAGTGACCACTCCTCCACGCTGTTTTATCCAATAGTAATTGAAGCCCAACATCCAAAGTTCTAGATAAATGGTCATTTGAATTTTCGAATCTAGTTCAGCTAATGCACTTTACGAATCTGCATGGCAATTAACCACCGAAAATCCACACTTGCCAAACAGGCAAATGCAGATTTATCCATCATTTCAACACATTTTATTTGACGCTTCACCAAAGTGCACTTATTCGCGTATCATAAATTAATTATACCAGATAAAACGAAATAAATTAGGTATTTGACCCGCTCCCGTTTAGAAGCAGTGAGGTATTGTAGTAGGTGACAATCTTCTTCTTGACTGTTTGCATTTCTAGTTAAATTAATATCACTATTTAGTTGTTGTTGCTATTTAAAGCCTTTGGCATCCCGTAGTTCAACTAATCATTGCTCTATACGGACTTTATGCAACTAAAAATGATACCTTTAAGAATAATCGTGAGCATAATGATATTTTAGAGAATGATCCATTTCACCCTGATAATTGGCCCGTGGATTCCTAATGTTTTCACTCTGAAATGGTATTTTCCATAACTTTTTTCCCACCGTCCCATTTAATTTATTTACATCGAAATCCTATTTATCGATATGAAGAATAATTCAAACATTTTGAGATTCTGAGTGGAATTCAAGGTATTTCATGAGAAGATAGTTACTCGAGGCCTCGTGTTCGTAGTCACGTGAATGACTCACAAGGACGCGTGCAGAATGCTAATAGTACACGTTTAAATAAGCAGATTTTTTGAATAAAAGGGAAAACGAAGAGAAGCCCATATGAAGTTGCAAATCTTCTTTAGAGTAGTTGTTTTCATAGAATAGCAGGGCGGACATTTTAGATTTTATCAGTGGAATCCAATCCCAAATATCGACGACATTGAGTTATAATGCCCCCATTATCAAACGCTAAAACGTTTGATGCTAATACTTGTCGTCCGCTTTATTTTACAGACTGCAATTTGGGGCACGTTCTAAATCTAATTCCATTTTCGTGCATTAATTTCGTGTTTTGTTCAGTACTAAATTTGGTGTCACAATCGCATATTATTCTCAGTATTAAACGTTCGGATATTGAATGCTTGAAAACAGTTAACCTGGTTGGCTTTATATAATTCTAGCTCGCTTGGCTAGGTGGACTTTTCATAGAGAATCACCATACAAAAAAAGGTATTCTGAAAAGAACCCTTTGTGATAATTGCTAAGGCATTTGAGCTTAGTCTTCCTTTAAGGATAATAGACTAATTTGGGTGCAAATACATCGTTAACTCTTAGTTGAATAAAATTACTCTTACAGTGAATAATCCTTTTCACTAGTAAAATCCTTAGTTCAATGAGAACACTTATTTAGTAGCAAGGAGAATGAGCTTCTGTAATACCTCAGATGGCAAAATTCGGACTAGTTAGAAACATTTCATAGTTCAAACTACTCTTCCGAATACCGAATGACTGGAATAAGACTGCTGAGGTAAACTAACGCGCGTGTCTTGCACGTATTCGTCGGAAAAGTTTCTAAAGTAGAATAGAAAATCATTCATGCATACTTTGAGATTGATAACTAAAAAATTGCAGCCTCTCTCTCTCCTCAAGAAATCCAAAGAGTAAGGAAGATGATACATTTAATTCTCTTATGAACGGTCACTAACTACCACGTTACTCATAAAATTTCAGTAGATTACTAAAATAATCACCAAGCGAATCAGCAACAAGGAAGACCAAAATCCAGTGACGAAAAAAATGTCATCAGACAGATGTAATCAATTAGTCATTATTAGAGCATTATATTCGATTTGAATATCTTATTTTAGAATTTTCGCTTGGGAAGTAATTTTAGAACCGAAAATGAGATGTAATTGCAAAGCTAGCAATTCAAAAGAGATAATAACAAAGAATACTCTGAAGGCTGCACTTGGAAATTGAGCATACTATTTTGGGTCTTTGGTAAGTCCTAAGTACACATTTAGATTTTAACACCAAGATAAAAAAATCAACTCAGCAAAGCATCATTTTATTTGCATAAGGTTCTATCGAACAAAAAAATATCTAAAGATTATAAAAAAACGAGCTATACTCCAGACAAAAAATCAAAAGAAATTAAAACTAACATGGCAAAACACAGAGGACAATAACCAAAAATAAAATATAATACAATAATCATAAAATAGCCATGGAGAAAACATCACCTAGCTTACCTGAAAAAATCTTGGCTGCCATGAGAGGTTCAGAACAGGAAGAAAATAAAAGGGACGAGAAGAGTGAAAGGGATACAAGGCAAGAGAGATTAGTCATCAGAAATACGAAAGGGGATAAAATCTGGCACGACTTTTGCATTTCGAAGAGAACCTAAAAGTTCAGATTCATTAGCAATATCTTCGGCTTTGGTCTTAGATTGTGACGCAGATTCGGTTTTTTCATTCTTATTGACGTCAATATCGCCACGCCAAATGTGTCGTTTCTTGCACTAAAGAAAAGCAGAAGAGAAATATACAGGGAAAAAACAATTGAAAAATATAACGAAGAAAACCCATACGGATGACCCCTTTTTGCATCGACCGATTAGAAAATCCTGACAAGCGAGTGTCCCCTGAGGATATTTGATATGAAGGAAGTTGCAATTAGAACGCGAACAAGTTCCCTTTGCAAAGTATACACATTGTGGAATTCGGCATGGATCTAGAACATGAGCAAGAGGACATCTCTGTTCACCAAGCAGGCATATGTTCTGAAGAAACCTAAATTAAACATATTAAAAGGTAACAACGACTAATACTGGAAACAAACTTGGGACAAATTCGGAGATATTCTGAATTATGAAGAAGAGGGCAATTATCTGCGCTTTCACAGCAACCCGACTTTACATAATCTTGACAAATTTGGCGCACAAACCGACGATTCATATTAATGGCTCGTTTCACGGACAACCTACACGAAATAAAAAAAAGCAGGAACGAACCTATAGGGATGAGTAGGCGTAATAACATTTCTTTGAGCAGATTTATGAAAGACAAATGGATTCTTCGACGATGACTCCGAATGAGACTCTAATTTAGTTTTACTCACAATCCAAGACTTGCTACGATAGTTAAAAATTGATTTACTCGATGGAAAAACATAGGCTGATCCCCTCTTTGCACGAATAGAATGATTTCTAAGTACATTACGAAATGAATCTAAAAAATTAAGCTACTATTGTATTACCTGTCCCTACACACATTGGCCGATTTGAGGTAGTCGTGTGAGAACTCATAGTTGGCACTGCAGAACCGATATTACTTCTACGATAACGAAATCGATTAGCAAATGCTAAATCATTAGAAAGGTGTTACCATTACCTGCGGAACGGAAGGGACCAGACCCTGTAGCGTTGTTCTGAAAGCCACGCTGGAAACGATAACGTGGAGGAGTATAAGTACTTGCTCTACGCCATCGAAAAGACATGATCACAAATCAAGTGAACGCAGAAAAAAATATACACCCCGCAGCCTTTATCATATGATAAAACAAATACAAATTGTGGTACGAAAGGCAGTAAAATCGAAAGTTAATCAAGATTTCTATCATAATTAATGCAAGAAATAATTTTAAACTTGTAAATTTCATAAATTTAATAGTAGCTTTCATTTTTCAACATTATATTATTAAATTTGGTAAATGAATAAGAGGAGATTATGTGATCCTAAGCACATACTTATGTGCATGTCTTTTTACTTTTAAAAGCAAATCTAATTTCGCTTCTCATTATAAAAGTACCTTAATTTTTTAAATAAAATTTATGGGCTATTTTAAGCAGTATCTAATCAGTAGGAGCCTAAACGTTAGAAAAAACAGATTAAATAAAGCATTTCCGTTATTTAAAATACTAAATATGAATAAGCTTTTTAAATTATGTTTCATAAACGGATTATCGAAAATGGCATCTATTAGCATTTGAAATTAGAAATAGGACAATTTATTAGTTTAAGTACGAAATACAAAAAATAGTGAGATGGAAGCCAGGATAGCCTTTAAGTTAGTATTTACTACGTTTCTATGATCAATTTTCCTTTATTTCTCATAAAAAGTGCTGCGCTAAGGATCTGTTGACAACTTAATTCGTAATTTATATTTTGTTGTAATTAATCAGAAAACCCGCGGCAAGTTTGACGCGTATTGATAGGGCCGAAATGGATGTTGGTATGGCTTCCGCTTTTTTATGCTATTTTGTGTATTTATAGCAGGTAACTCAGACGCACCACTTGCATTTAGTGCTTCTGCGGCACAGCACAATTTCCGAATTGTTAGCTATTGCCGTACCTCTCTAGCCGCATTAGCTGGTGTGACAGCTGGCATCCTCGGTCTCACCGGCATTATAGGATTCATATTCTATTGTGCATGTAGTGTGCTCCTTTCTTTGCTCTTCTTCCAGAGAACCGGTCGAGAGTGGAACAAGTACTTCCTCAGCAAATGCACTATCTTCACCAGTTTTATTTTTGGAGAAATACTAACTTACATACTTTGTTGGACATTCATTTACGGAATAGTTCATGTATATTAATACACTTCTTTCCTACTCCCAAAGATAAGACTTTTCCACAAGGGTTTGAAGAATATTGTAATTTTTTATATTTACATTAAAAAATTGAGGTCTAAGAGGTTGCACAACCGGGGTCATGTTTTTCATCAGAGGAGAGAAAATGTTGAGAAGATGGAGGTTTATATTCTTGTTGTCTCGATAACTGAGGTCGTTTGATATCCAAGGGATTGGTTCTTAGGGTCGAACGCACATAATCCTGTGTAGCAGGAGTTTCCGGATTTGCCTAAATGAAGAGGAAACAATAGTAAATAAAACAAATGCTGATATAAATCAATTAGCTTACATCAGCGAGACGAGGTCGTTTCGAAGCGCCTGAAATGGGCGAAGCTGGAGGTTTCCTTAACGGGACGTCTTTGCGCATTGCTTGAGGAGCTTCTTGCTCAGTTTTCAATGGCTTGAGCTTTAGCTTATGGCTAGACGCGTTCTCTTTGTCTAATCCAGTAGTAACTTCGGTAGGTGACAGCTTATGGCGTTGAACGGGAATAAGCTCAACAGGTCGACGAATTGGAGAGATTTCGGGAACATAGGAGGACGAAATCGACGATGGTTGTTCACCTACAAGAATCGAATATTTTATGAGATGTGGAACAGACAAGCTTAGCTTTCGATAACCTGGAACCTTTTGCTACAGAAGGTGGTTCCTTTCGCCTTTTACCATTAGTAACAGCTTATTCTTTTATACTTTTACAAGGATTGTCCTCGGTAATAGGAAGTTACTGCCTTACATTTTGAATACCACAATATTCGATTGAGGAAGCCGAAGGTGATAGACACGTCTAGTCAGAGGATTTCTTTGAATAAAGGGGAGAGTGAGACTATGGGAAATCTTCGTAGTTAGAAGTCATTGGTTTGAGGTTCATCGATGCCAGCCGCACTAGCTAATGAAGGGAGAGATTGGGCCTCAGCTCGGAGAGGCTCCTTGACCTCAGGTCTTATTTAAGACAAGCCCTGTGCCACTGATGCATCAATCAGCCCCAAATCACTCATCATTGGTTCAGATCTGCCAATTTGGTTGAAAAATAGTGCAACTAAATGATTGTAACTCTTGATCTAACCTTCCAATTAACGTCTTTAAAAAAGAGTTAGGAGTCAGATACTGAGTTGCATGCAACCATGCGCGATAGGCTCAGCTTCACGTAGCGCACTCTCGAAATAATTAAAAAGTCCATAAACCGCCAGCTGACTTCAAACTACAATGACCCGACTGTATGTCATATTCGATCACTTTCACAGTACTCATCCTACCATCTCTACCATTTTGTCTGCCTCTATTACATCTGCGAAACACGTTCCTACTCTCTCTCTCTCTCTCTCTGATGTTCCTCCCCTCTGTGAAGCCCAAAGTTAACTAAAGAGCTAATGATAACAATCACATTCTGCCATTTGATATAAATAATTACCATGGTACAGCCATTCTACTAGTTAAAATAGTGCTGACGGTCATTCGTTTGCATAAGAAGCAACTGCATTTTAAATAGTGGATAACTGCAACCCAAATTTCATAGCTTAACGAGCCAAATTATGCCCATAAATATCGCAAATACAGCTTTATAAAAAAATTGCATTTCATAAAACCGTTGGGACTCCGAACTTTCAATGCCGCATTCAAAGCTACACATTCAACTGTCTAAAAAGAAGTGCTTTTCATGACCTTTCGACTAAAACATCAAACAATATACTAATCTTGAGCCAATGTAGAAGTAAATCAAGCGGGATGTCGAAAATAAGCATGCATACCTTTAGACAGCATGTTGCCTTGAGAAGCTTGTGAAGAAGAACCTGTTTGCCCTATAGTTACACCAGAGTTCTTCGACTTAATTGAACTGTTGTATTTATTATACCTCTCAGCCACTTGTTTGGCAAAGTTAGCAGCAGTCACCGGATCAAACAATTCATCAAAAGTAGCTCGATAGCGTTCAATCTGGACCGTCTTCTCTGCAAGTTCATCTTGAAGCTAAAAAATGGAACAGACATAAGCACACACACACACTCTATTAATGTTCAAGCATGTACCATGGAAATACCTTTTGAATAAGGCGGTTCTTGCCTTCCAACTCTTCACTAAGACGCGACTTTTCCGATTTGCTTTCTTTCAATTCATTGGCTAATTGATCGATAAAGGTGCTGGTTGATTCCAAAGACTGGGTCTTTGATTTTAGCTCTTTTTCCTGTTGCAAAGAAGAGAAATGTGATAAACCAAAGATCAGAAAACTCGTGAGATTATGAATATAATGTCCATTACTTTAAGTTGAAGTAAATGATAGGGATTGACTTCTGGATTGAACAACTCATGAACTGAATCAGATTCGCGCCATGAGCGCAACCAAGGTAGTGACTAGAAGACAGAAGCATTTAAAGACCCAATGTAACGCAAATTAAAGAATAAACAAACAAAACGTACATTAAGAAGACCTCCTATTCGACGACTAAGAGACTGAGCAATTTGGAGGCCATTTGATGCACTATCAAAACAATTGAGATCAGAAGCGAGATCGCGGATAAGACCTAAAACAAGTCAGTTTCTTCCTTATAATGAAATATTATGTCTCAATGCGAATGAAAGACGAATAGCGGGAGTAAAGACGCCAACTATCAAAGACCCTTATTTCACGTAGACGATCGCCTGGTGATAACCACTTCATAATCGCAGCGTCTCATTGATCAAATAATATCTAACGTTTCATTCAGCCAAGAAGAATAATACTAGATTCAACCATTAATATGTTGAACTGGCCGAAAAAACGAATCACGTTGTTATATCAGAGCTACTAAGAAATATTTGAAGTTTTAAACAGGATGGAAAAATTTCACCAGCAAACCTCCACTCACGTCCAATGTAACAAGGCAAATATAGCCATCCAAAGAATTTCAGACTTAAATTAGGATGTTCTAACATTCCTCCCATATTCTTCAAACTGCGTTTAATCCAATTATTACACTTTTACGTACCCATGGAGCATAATTAAAAGGGGAAACGATTACGAAATACAACCAAGGCCAATAACCATTTGAACAAGTATCCTAATTAAAAACAGAAAATAAAACTATGAAAGGATAGAAAAAAATGTAAGAGAACTGGGAAGTTGCAGATTGTGGCGGAGGTTTTATAATATAGAAACGAAAAAATTATTCAAAAATAAATCTTTATATTATTCCAAGCGGGCAATTTCTTGACGGCATCCCTAGTATTATCGTAATCTACCTAAGAGAAGAAGCCAGTTTGGAATTTGTGACTAGAAACTTTCATTTTGCTCCAACTCTAATGACTAGTGAATGAAAAAATGTTCAGGACATTTAATTTTACAGACGTGGGGTTTATCGTTAAATCAATGGAAATTATTGGATTAAATGATAAAATAAACCACACACGGGCACAAATAAGGGCCTTACAAGTGATTTCAGCAGAAGTTGTTTCTAGGAATGCATAACGTCTTTTTTCATCCTGCAATTGAGCTTTCACATATGTGACTGTCTTTTGGGAGACTTCAAGAGACTCTACAGAGAAAATAGTAAAAAAAGTTAACATAAATGCCAAATAATAAATTGGAATAAAATACGAGCAAACGGAATTAAACCTCTAACTCTGTCCAGATCATATTGAACATTTCGAAGTTCAGTTCTTAGCATATCATCTTCAAATACCCTTTTGTCGCAAAGACTCTCTAAAGCTACAAAAACGTCCGTTCGGTTCAAATCAATGGTGTTCTGAGATCGAAGAAGAGAGTTGTCTTCGCACATCTTAGCATATTCATCAATGATATAAGAAATATTCTCGATGTTTAACACTCCCAAGAGTTTTCTTAAAGCCTTTATAAGTGTTTGACAAGTAAATATAAGATCTTCAGAAGTTAAAGTATCGGATTTGAGTAAGTCTAAAGTGGACTTAATTGTCAAACAACTGGCTAGGCTTTCGGTTCTCCATAAATCCAATGCTTGGTAATGTGCAAAAAGAGAAGATTCAAAATACTCTGAATTAGTAAGATTTTCAGCTTTCTTTGAAAGGTTAGGAGCAGTGACAGACACGGGGAAGGATTCAATGTTCGCCTTTGAGGAAGAATGTAAAAAAATATCCTTTATTTTCTCTGCGTCCTGACGAATGTCACTGAGCAGACGCATAGGAGATGGAATGGAATTTTGTTGCATTTCCTTCTAAAATAAAATTAAAATAACGAAATGCACTGCATGGCACTATAAGACAGCATTTAAATGTAGACATGGCAATCCAATCAAATTTCCAAGCAACGTATTTAAAAAAATAATCAAAATACAACATAATCAATAACATGATATATCGTCTAAGAACAAGGGACTAAGGTACTCAGAAGGACAATCCTTATCGAATTGACTTTAATGGCCGCTTCAGACATAAGTTGCGATTATTGACTAGTTAAAACATCATCTTGAAAAGGTTAAAAGAGTGCTTGCCTAGTAATAGCTAAATTTGTGAGTTAAATAGGTAAAATTTTTCAAAGACTTCTGTTTCGATTCATATATATGAATTAAGATAAATAAAGCCATAATCTGGAATGTCTTGTAAAAATTATCTCACACAAATCAAAATTTAAATAAGGTTTATGGATTCATTTAGTTTGCTCTAACATTACTAATGCTGCTTTGAAAATAATTTTTAACGATTGCGTGTCTTATGGTAGTAAAGTCACATAAACCGCTTACAAATACTCTTCGTTTTGGCTGATTTCAATGAAAGAAATGAAGGAGAAAAAGTGTCTTTTCGGTTAAACTATAACAAGATATTACTTTGTTGAATAAGGTTATTTTAAATTTTAATAATTCCAATTGACTTTACCCTTACAATCGGTTCCAAGCACTGTATCTTTTCGTAGATAATTATGAGATCATTCTGCTCCACGGCTTGAAGGAAGTGCATTGTACGCTTCAGTTTTCACATTTTTGTCTGAGGTTTTGATAAAATGAATAATGTTGATTTCTTTTTACCGAGAATCCATAAGAAAATAAGATATTAACTTGAATTGTTCTGCAATCAATTTAACATTTCTTTATCATTATGCTTGAAATATTTTTAAACATTTAATTCTTTATTCAGTGATATTTAGATGGCGGTTTTACCAAATCAAAGAAACATAAAATGAAAAGGAAATTCAGTATTTATTTCTTGAATGAGTTTTAAAATATTAAAGTTCAAATGTTATCTCAACGAATAAACGAATGCAGTAATGTTCTAAGTCGAAGAATTGAATGAAAAGCCATGACAATCTAAATTTGTCTTCAAAGCTTTGACGGCAATGATTCCTTCCCTATTAGACTATCTCTAAGTTACAGATGAAAGCATAAAGAATATCATTTCAGTATAGATTAAATTGATAAAATCCTAGATAGGCCAGACAACAGTTATATTATTTTAGCTTTTCTCCAAAACCAGCAATTTCCACAAGTCAAACTTATTAAGGTCATTTGCGCCGGCAATAAGGTTGTGACTTCAGGTAGTTGGTTGGTGATCTGTCCTCGCTGACCTTTTTTCGTAAATCCTTGTATTATAATTATTTTTGTTCTTACTTTTTTATTTAGTTTCAAATTTCAACATCTTTTCCTTCCCTATTCAGCGATATGCTTAATCGCTTGTTGGTACCTTCAATTGGATGGAAAGTTCCAAAAATTGTTGAGAAGCATTTACATAGCGATATACTTTCCCGTCAACTCTTTCGAGTTGTTTCGTCATCTCATATCATAAAAATTCCGCACGCTAGATTAGTAGGAGTTCGCAAATATAAGGAGTCTAGTATTCGTCACTTATTCGGCTCCCCAGAACCCACGAGTAAACTAAAGTCAATTTCCTCCAAAGATGACTTAAACGATTTGCTCAAGGATTACAGTCCTACGATCCAACTTCAAATAGTCGAAGCCTATAGACGTGGTATTCAATCAGTTGGTGGAAGTGCAACTCAGAAGAAAACGAGTACGATTCAATCAGTCACCACGATCATTCTCAGAATCGTTTCCATTGGCCTCGGCGTCATTTTGATTCTATTCTTGATCAAAGCTCCGGAACGTGGTCTTAATGGATCTTTTTCTAAAATGTTTGATTCGTCCATCGCTGAATTCGCGGATAACATCGATGTTAAATTTTCAGATGTTCAGGGCGTACGTTTGCTCGGGAAATGATATTAATGCTTTATGAATAGTGAATCTTACCACTTATTTCTCTTCCTTTTGCCAGTGTGATGAAGTGAAGAAAGAGCTGGAGGATATTGTGGAGTTTCTGCGCAAACCAGATAAGTTTGTTAAACTAGGTGCCAAATTGCCTCGTGGGGTACTTCTTGTGGGACCCCCCGGTGTTGGAAAGACTCTACTTGCTCGTGCAGTAGCTGGAGAGGCTCAGGCAAGTTTTCTTTATTCATTTTCTATCAAAAATGTCTTTGATATTACTTGGAGACATATCCATAATTGATTTCATAGTCTATTATTTGGGATAGTGGGACTTGATTCATTAATAGCTTTTTCTTTAATTTGACGATTTCCCGGTGTCTTAGTTGATTGCATAAATTGTATGCTATGACATTTACATTTTATGTATTCGAGGTCTTTTTTTGATGAAATGGTGCTTCCAAAAAAAACTGCTTATTTTTATTCGTAATTTTAATGATCTGGTGTATCGGACCTCCTAATTATCGCTTATCATTTGTTTTCCATATGGGTATTCTGATCGGAGGCGTTTGTCCTTAAAAAAACCTTAGGAATCATCTCTTGAGGCATGAGTTGGGAATATAATGCTGTTCTTTGTTGCAAAATATACTGGTTATATGGTAGAAGAAAGTAGCTTATCTCCCAATGCCTATTGGTGTGGCATAACCTTTTTTTAATTTATTAATCTCGGGTCCCTTCTCATTGATCAGTATAGTATTGGGGTCCATTGATTAAATAATATTTGACCTGGGCAGAGGAAATATATTTTGCAGTCACATTTTATCATGTTGAAAAGACTTAAACATTTGCATCACTGATGCGACTCAATGGAATCTAATCTCGTGAACTCATAATGTAGAAACATTTGCACCGTTGCTCCATCGATGTACTGTTAATCTCCCGTCAGTATTTCTGTTACAAGGTGACTTTATTGTAGTAGCAGAGGTATTTGCGTAAGTAAGCAAACAAGCACTGAGAACATTTCCTATTCCAGATGGAACTTATAAACTTTTAATTGTGTTCTGCTGTTCTTATTTTTTGCTGCATCTCCAATTTTGAGATTTTTGGATAGAGAAGAGAATAAAGGTGCTGTGAAGTTTTCAGTAGCTTAACCTCTAAGGTGCATTTCCAATATCTGTTCTACTAGATCTGGACAAGATTTAGCCATAATATTTTCAAATCTCATCTATATATATAGTTCAATGACCTTATGTTAGTTGCCTGTTCACTTTATGTGCTTCCAATATTTATAAATATTTACTCCTTTTCCCCTTAAGGTACCCTTCCTCCACGTCACTGGAAGCAACTTTGAGGAGATGTTTGTAGGAATGGGCGCTTCTCGCGTTCGTCAGTTGTTCGCTGCCGCCAAAGAGCACGCTCCCTGTTTGGTATTCATTGACGAAATCGATTCTGTTGGTCGCACACGAACCTCCTCGCCTCTACATCCATACTCCAATCAGACTATTAACCAGTTACTTGCTGAAATGGATGGTTTTTCTCCCTCTGAGGGCATCATCGTCCTTGGAGCAACCAATCAACGTGAAGATTTAGATAAGGCTCTCATGAGACCGGGTCGTTTCGATTTTCAAGTCCATGTGTCACCTCCTACTTATGAAGTAATTTTTTGGATAGTTAATCAAGTTATTGTCATCATTTCTTGTTCGGTTTTTTTCGCTACAAAAAGTTCTTATTTTAAATTCGTTTCAAATTTAGGTTTGATCATGGCGTAAGTAAGTTCTTTGTGACTGATTACTAGTTGTTAGAAATGGTGATCTCACCTCATGGAATCTTTGTGTATGTGTGTATTTTCTTGGATTTTTGCCAGTTTTTTTTTAATTTTTTATAGCTTGGTCTATGTCTACTGATCTTTGAGATAATCATCGATAAAATGGTTGTAACGCTAACCTTTATTTAAATTCATCTGAGACGCTTCTGGTTCTTTTTATGATATTGACTTTCGTTGATTCTCTCTACTTCTTTTAATTAGTAGTATAGATTTTATAGCTGGGTTTTATAAGTGAGATATTTGAGAAAAGTTCATTTCTCCACAAAATGCTCGAAATCTGGTCTAAGCGTTCGAGACATTGACTTTCAGATATATGGTTAAGAAAAATCTTATTTGATATTTCTAAAAATTGTCTTTTATTTATCAATATTACGTCAACATCATTTCAATTGATATATGAGAGTAATGCTTTCAGCTCCAACCTGTTATTTTACTTAATGCTGATGACCAGCCTATAATCTATCGACTCTTTCCTGAGCGATTTGTCCCTCAGGTTCAATTTTCTCGAAATTTATTTATATTTATATCAAATGACAGGCTTTATGATGGTTATCATTAGCCCTTTAGTTGACTTCAGGCTTCACGGAGAGAGGGGAACATCAAATCGAAAAAGTCGAGAGGGGGGGGGGTGAACAGAAGAGTGTTTTAAAGATGTAAAAAAGACAGACACAAAGGTGGATGAAAGGTGAGGTGCGTACTGTGGCAGTGGTCGAATATGACATACAGTGGGGTCATGGTAGCTGAAACTCAGAAGTCAACTGCCGGTTTATAGACTTTTTACCGCATGAGTATACGTTGCCCAGGGTGCACCACGTGGAGGTAAGTCTATCGCACACCCCATTTTCTCGAAATAAGAAAATACAATGGTTATAATAGACAAATAATACTATATTTTGCATCATGCCTTGAACGAAATAAGCTTCTTTATATTAGAGACCACTAACTATATGATGTACAAAACTTCAAACTCCCTTTCCGATGCAGAGACTTGCTTGGCTAATTTTTTTAGTTAACAAGCTTAGACCATTGTGCAACATTCCTTGTCGATAAATAAAGGATACCTTAGATTCGCCCTAGTTAAAAAATTTGCATTCGGTGTTTTGTCGTGTAAATATGATGTTTTTTAGGGTGCAATTTTTCAACCCCTACCTTTAGTGGAGTGGAAGTTGGTTTAATTCTCGAGATGATTTGACTCACCTGCTAATTAACTCCAAATATTCCAAACTGTCCCCGAAGAATCCAGGAGCAATATGACGTGACATAAACTAGCCCATCAGGTAAAATTAGTGGCAAATTCGTTGAATCTATATCTCACCTTAGCAATCCTGACTTTATTACTGCTCACTTGTGCGTCCCCCCATTCGCCTCTGCATCTTTTGGTCTATTTCACTGTTTCTCACGTTTTAGATGCCTATCCACCAGTAAGTCATTTTTGTTCACTGTGTCGTAAACTAATACGGGCAATGCTTCCCACTACTTGAGTGTAGAATTATGTCTTGAATAAATTCTTGTGCTATTTCAAATCTTCATTGTTTAGACGTCCAATCAATTTTATCCATTCGCTTGACGTATTAGTGAACATTTGCTCCCTGTATAACGAATTTTACAGTGACGAAAATCGGAAACTTATGCTTATGAACGTGTTCCTATTGAGTTTATATTAAATAAAAGTATTTGTTTTTTTAAATATTATTTTCGAGAAGTCGTGAGATGTTTTGTTCCATCGCTTTTGATTATAACACAGGGTATTGATAAATTGTCAATTAATTAATCCTAGTCAATCGATTAATAAGCTCCGAACATCACAACTGTGAGCTCTTACTGGAAAACCTTGGGGTTTAAACCCTAACTTATGACCGTTTGGATCAAGTGAATAATTTCTCTGAAGTAGTAGGTGGGTAACTTAACTGTAATATAAATAGATATGCAGAGCATCATATTTTCGCGATTTGAATACTACTACCTAACTGGAAGTTATTTTTGCCTCTACTTGTTGCTCTTCGCTCACTTAAACCTGAGTTTAGATAGTGGATTCACTTATATGAGGGTCTTTTCTGTCATCTTAATCTCTTGATATTCGTTTTGTTAGCTTAAATCACGTTTTATTCAGCATGTTTAATTTTTTTATTAGGGACGGGTGGCTCTGTTCAAGCTCTACCTCTCCAAAGTCTCAGCCTCCAATGATGTGCAGATTGAGAAACTGGCGTTGAGCACAGTGGGTTACACTGGTGCAGAGATTCAGAATCTCGTCAATCAGGCGGCAATTTCTGCGGGTTTGAAAAACGATAAGGAAGTCACTATGGCCCATCTCTGGGATGCGCGCGATCGACTCCTTATGGGCCCCGCACGACGTCGTTCCGCCGATGCCGAGAGCAACAAGATCGCTGCTTATCATGAGGCTGGGCATGCGCTCATGTCGATCTACACGAAGGATAGTGATCCTGTTCACAAGGTAAGTACAAATCCAGCCATTTACTTTGTAATTTTGAACTATCTTCACTTGCTACTTCTAACCCCCTGACAGTTGTTAATTCAGATCTACTGAGAGAGAAGACAGAATTTTGTGTCCTCATTTTATGTCGTTTGTTTAAATTATTTTTGGGAGGGACGTACTAATAGCTGCTAGTAATTGATGGCTATGTATAGTGTAGTCGTATATAATTGAGTTGAGTCGACCCACAATTGCCTATTGATTTGGCTTTGCGATAACCCGTTACCATCGGAAATGATAAGGAATGTTTTCATTTTCCTCCCTATAGAAGGATTTAAATAGGTTTGTGTATGCAATATGTTGAAAGCCGGATTGCAGAATTACTTCCAAGTCCATCACTTATTGCTAACAAATATTCCTATATGTGTTCTTCCTAAAAACTTAAATTCTAGCTCGTAAAGGGCTATATTCAAACAGCTGAAGTTGCTCAAGGGCTGGGGCAGATATTCATATTCAGTGTGCACCACCTGTCTTTTAGATCTTGAATATTGACAACTTAGACAGATTTCAGTGTCATCAAATTGGAATTAGTTGTCATGACTACAACAGTCTCAATGCGGATTTAGCCTCCAAGCTCCCACATATTTCGATAGCCTATTGTCTATATACTGGGCTGTCGAGGCCACTAATCACCATGCCAGCACTACAAAAGCCAACCAGTTAATGAATAGGACTAAAACATTTATAGAAAACCTTCCTAAGAAAAATTTGAAGTCGGGTTCCTCCAAGTTCTGGGCCATGTTCGGAGACTACCCGACGAAGTACGCAATACAGGCTAACGGCAATTCTTTTGAGTAAAGTTCTGGCAATAGTGTAATTTATCCTTCTATTAGATTTCTTTTAAATCTATTGATTTTTTTTACTTTCAAACCGCATTCTTTTTCCTATCAGATCAAACTTTACTCGCAAGCAATCTGTAAGTTTAGGGGAAAGGCTGTTACCTTATTACTGGTTTTATATAGTGCAAGTATTTTAAATATCATTAGCTAGTAGACTCTTATGCTTCCCCTCCCTGTGGTTGTCAATTTCCAACTCCTACCAATATCCCTCCTTCCTAGGTAACGATCATTCCCCGTGGTGAGTCGGGTGGCCACACAAGTTTCATTCAAGACAAAGACCGGGATTACATAACTCGCACTCAACTACTCGCCAAATTGGACGTATCTATGGGAGGTCGAGTTGGTGAAGAATTGCTCTTGGGAGAAGAACGAGTCACCACTGGTGCCAGTTCAGATTTCAGTGTGAGTTATTATTGAAGTGGAGTATTCTCGATGGAGACCTTCTGTTCAGTATAGCACTAAATCTATGCTTGCGCGAAGTAACTGAGGTTATTTATCTAGCAAATGGAAAATAGGGCTGAAGTGGCAATGAGTAAGCTCGACATGAATGAATGGTCCGATTGGCTAGTAAGTTTCCATTAATATCTCCAGATGTTTAAGTGTTTAATAACGATCATCATACTATGGAATCTAAAAGCGAGTTGTTCAGACGTGAAGTTGGTGTACTTTCAGGTCAATGCAGAGTCTAGAGATGCCAAGACGAGTTAAAAGAACATCTGGGTGTTAATTCTACCTCATTTGATTTTTGTAATCCGATTCTACTACCTTTGCCAACTTGAAGTTTCCTGGTTCGTTCCTTAAATTCAAACAAACTTCCTAATATTCCTCACTCTTTGCCACTTCAAATTTTCTTTCTACCAATGGTCGGGAATGAAAAATACCTCAGGATATTCCACACCTTTGAATTGTGACATTGCAGAAGTGTGATAGTTTGAGGTGAACAACTATTTATAGGACATACAGATGAAATTCTTTTCTGTTGGTGTTTTCTTACCACTCGGTATTCGTCCTTGCGGAACTCTTCCGACTTAAATTTTTTACCCATCCCAACTCTCCTGTATTGATGAAACTATAGCTGCCCAATAATATTTGAAACCATTTTGGCCGTTTAGCCATCGGGAAAGATAATTAAGTGGCAGAACAGACCTTGATTGTTTAGAAACGGTCAATAAACGCGGTAAATCGTTGGTATTTACGACAAGTCAAGAGACGAGTTGCTAAATTAGATTTTTAAACGTGAACTGCTCATTTTCCAAGTATTGACAATTCGAAACCTTGAATCCGATGAGCATGTACTCAGTGAAATGTTGACGTGGCTTTCGCTATCTCTTTGATCCTCCTTCCTCTTCACCATCTTTTGGACTTTCTGTTAACTGTTTTCGGTTGTACCTTCCCTTGGGCGCCACAGAATATTAATTCATGGATGAGATTAGAATCGACCATTGAGTTTGGTTTGTATGACCTGGTGCATTTAGTGCATAATTGGCTTATCTTCCCAGTTGGAGGTCGCCATCAATTTGATGAATTGGACGACTTCTGATTCTTGGCAAAAAGATAATTGTATTCAAGTGTTTTCACATGAAATTTCCATTTCAAATCAGCTTGACTTCATAACCCCCCTCAGTATTGGTTTACATATACGATTTGGACATAAAGGTGTATGGGTTTAATTTTCCTAGTCATGGATTAGGGAGGAAGGTACAAGAAGCTAAGATTTCCCCGGCCACTGGATTGCAATATTTGTTCGTCCTTGTTCTCAATACTCTCAGAATAAGTGAAGGAAAAATTAAATCTTTTGTAGAATAATTTTCAAGGCACTTTTGAGCCACCACACTGATTTTCATGAATGGAGATTTGAATTCTCGTGTATATTCATGATCATATACTTCACGATCTAGCTCTAAGTTGTCTGATACCAGAAGAAAGCTGGCATCTGGAATTACGCGAATTTAAGAATGGGTGTTTTCATTCCCGTTTTCATTTCGGAGGATCGTTTAACCGTTAACATTTACAGCCTTGAAACCAAAGGAAACATTTTGACTGACCATGTTTTTCCCATTGCGACAAACAGCATGCAACCGCACTGGCTAATCGCATTGTCTGCAATTTCGGAATGTCCAAGAAATTGGGACCACGTGTCTACAGATCCGAGAGGGACGGAGAACTCAGTCAAGCAACACGCGATATCATAGACAAGGAGGTCGACGAACTTCTCAATAGTTCTCTCAACCGTGCCCGCGACATTCTCACGAAACACCGCAAGGAACTTCAACTCTTGGCAGAGGCCTTACTCTTCTATGAGACTCTCAGTTTGGATCAGATCAAGGATGTTATTGCTGGAAGGATGAAGCCCCAAGGAAGCCATCCTGTTGGTCAGGAACCCAAAATTCCTTCTTTATCGCCTGTGACGAAACCGCAACCTGCCGCTTGTGAACATTGTGGTGATTTATAGTAGAGTGTCCAGTAGTTGAATGTACAAAGAACCACTCGTGATTATGCGTAGTATTGTTATAATGAATCTTTCGTGGATTGTGCTATAATAAAGGGAGAACCTGCTTATTTTACACTTGGTGTTTTATGTCTGCGTTATAGGACGTATCAGTGGGGAAGATTCTCCAATCTTAGTATCTAAACTTACTACATAATTAGTATTTTATATTAACATTATCTAAACTGTTCCTATCCCGCTATGTTGTTCCCTAGCAGAATGCAGTAGTGTGCCTGGCTATCCGTACGCACCAATCGGCCAAATTTGTGAACATGGAGCAGGGAGTTAACAATGAAGTGGATGGTATGAAACTCTAATGAAAAAATATCTATTTGAAGTGTGTTGTTTTACGGTGGTTTTGTTTCTCTAAATAAGCCATTTATTTATTTCCTCCTTGGAAATTCTGTATCCATATTGTTGGAACTGGCATTGAGTCTTCTTCCTTAATAATAACCACCAGGTCTGGAGATATTATAAGGGTGCTGTTTTTGAATGAAGATACGCATCAAAAGTGAATGGCTAACTTTACCTTAGATTCTATTTTTTTTTGAAGATTTACTAAGAGGTTTAAGTTCGTCTAAGCACACGCACACACAAGGAACATTCAGGAGCAGTGGTGATGATTCCACTTGCATTTCAAAGTTCTAAATATGTAAGTAGGAGATTTGCCGGCATTAAACTCACCACTTGTCTACTTCCTAATTTTATTATCCATTAAACTTTTATGACCTTGTAATGGTCTCTCTCTCTCTCCAACGGTATCTTTATGTGTTTCTCTACTTTATTTCTTACATTGATATAGGTACATAAGGTACTAGAATAAGGAGAAGCTGAGTTGGGGTGATTCATTTTTCTCCAATTCTCTTTCATATTTTTTCAGGTCAGTATCTTATTAACTCGGGATGGGTGTGGCGGCAGCATCCATCCATTCTTTTAAAATCACGATATTACCTTCTTTTATCCTATCAACACATCTTCTCGAGAAATCTCAAATCTATTATCTGACTGAAATCCACAAATACTATTGTCCAAACTTTATGCTTGAGCAAGTGATGATTGCCATGACCACCAGCACTGTCCATTGCTTTCATAGCGCTTTTAGCTAACAATTGCGCACCATGAAAGCGTTTGAATGCGCCAACGTCCCGATTGTTCATTTCACTACTAAGAACTTACGCTACTTTACAAGTAAACTGCCTTAGTGGAGGTAAGCATCGATTGAGAACGTAAGTGGGTATCTCTACCAGTTAATTTTAGGCACCAATATTTAACAAAAAAAATGCCGTGAATACAAATTTGTTGGTTGAAAAGACGAACTCAACGTTTAGGCTCCTGTCGATAGGCATAAGGTAGCTATTTTGACATATGCAATTCGAAGGAACATACACCCATTAACTAATTAAGCTATTAATTAAACGAGCAGAGGTAAAACATCAGTTAGTATAATTGGATTCACTTGCTTATAAAATAATTACACGCCATGTTGGTTCCTATTTTATACCTCCAAATCAGCAGTTAATTTACCAAGGGTAGAAAAATATATGCATGCAAGAAAAGGGGGGGGGGGGGGAGAGGGTAAGAAGGCACCGGTATTGGTGATAAAATTAAGCTTGGAATGTGGCTAGGAGTTTTTCCTGATGTTTGCGTGGATAGCTCTGTCCAAGTTTGAAGTGAGCAGCTAAAAAAGCAGCACCGGTTGCCGCCGAAGATGTAAGTAGCACCAAATGAATCGCAGTGCCAATCTTCTTTGTTCGTAGGTCAGGGACTACTCGGTCAGCGAAACCTGCAATTGTAAGTTCCATTAATTCATTATTTGAACCAGTATTTAGGTGCCCAGTTTCTAGCCCTGAAAAGTGGAATATTGTTCTCCCCCTACCCCCCCCCCCCCCCCCCCCCACCTGACATTAAGCTTGTCATAACTAGTTAAAAAATTGTGCTTAAGTCAATATAGCAAGACACAATCTGGTCAAGACATTTTCTCCCTTTGGTCTTTGAATATATTTCCAACTGCATTACATCGGAGAGTGACATTTGGAAGTATTTTTAAATAGTTAATTGAGGACAGCCTTAAGTACATCATGTAAACAAGGAAAAATGAGCTTGAAAGAACATCGAAGCTTCAGTTGGTAGAATCTGTGCATTCCTGAATCTATTCAAGCTTACTTGAAATGTATTCTTGAATGGTGCATATAAATATTCTGTCGTGAATATTTTTACCATTCCTTTTTCCTTTGTCATAGCAACTAATTGGGAAATATATCTACGGGAAAGACAAACCTGATTAGAAATAGTTTAGTCATTTACAGTGTGCGAGATGCAGCATTTAAGCAGACAACGTAGATAGAACACTCTCAGTCACATAATTTCAAATGCAGCAAGTGAGAAAAGCGTTTTACACCATTGTGGGACAAAATGCCAAACTTAATCATCATCTACAAACTTTAACTATACTTTCGGTTATGTTTATTTTACAGATACGACACTGAACAAGAAATTGAAAAAAAAATGTAGCATCGCTTAACTCCCAATAAGTCAAGGACCCCTGACTGAGGATAAAAGAGTAAGATAAAGGCATAAAAATCAACTATCCCTTTAAATCGCCAAGCTCTGAGAACAGCTTATTTTTCCAATTTCAGCTCTGAAGCAGATGTTACCACCAGATATTTATTGAATTAGCATGAGTTCGCCCAGAAAAATGCACAATTTGCAGTGGATACGTTTCGAGAACTCTACAATCTGCAAAATGTATTACGCACTTCATTTCGCTGCTATAAAAAGTTTGTGCATCCAATGCAAACTATGAGAACGTCATGTGTTTCAAAAAGTAATTCCAACGCACATAAAGCAGTGTTATTCGAAATGAAAAATTTGTTTACGATGGACATATGACTAACAGTGAAAGTATTCCAATGTATTTGGAAATTTTACCTCGTTAGGCACTTGAAATGATATCATGTTCCCATTTAAAGGTTTAACTTTCCACAAAATAGTCATAGCACTAAGCGAGTTCATATTGTGCTGTAGTAATGTGAATATTATCACCAACCTTGCTCAAGAAGATCCCAGCTATTGAAAACACCACCTCTGCATACCACACTAACGCCTTCGGGCCTCATAAGCCATTCCTGAAATAGTGAAAAAAATTAAATGAATTTCCTTAAAAATAATACAAACTTACAAGAAACAGTGATGAGCAAATGTCTCAAGGGACTTACAATGACATTTTGTTATCCGACCATTAAAATATAATTTCCTAAAATGAGTAAATGCTACTTATTCAGTCGTTTAACATCCAGACCCATGTTCAAACCCGAGTGGAAGTTGAACCAGCTAAATAGATGTAGACAAATAATTACTGGACAGACACCATCTATGAACTATTTCCCAAAGGTAATGGAAAATCTTTTTAGGCATGCGTTTTGAGAAGTGCTACATCTGTAGATATTACTTGAAATGCAATTATTATAAAGTTTAAAAAATGAGAAATGACATCACAGTTAAAGTAAATTAAAGAAGTACCTTCACATGTCATTAAAGTTGTTTATGAAATCATGTAAACGTAATGTAGCATGACTCACGAAATCGGCTTTGCGAAGTACAGCCATTACATGTGCTCCCAATACGAAACCGGCTTTGTAGAAGAGATGTTGAGCCAAAGGATCTCCAAGTCGGGCCACTGGAGGATGAAATCAGAATGTCAGAAAGAGAATAAAACCTACATTCAGCAACCTTCTTGCAAAGTCCAGCGTAATAGCATTTATCAAAATTATAATAATGGGGAGTCAGAATGTCCGCATTTTTTTTCAAACCGAAGTAATCGAAGATAACCCCTTTGATAACAGAAGTGTCATAGGAGGTCATTTCAAGGCCTTCATCATTATCCAGGTAGGTTTTAATTGCTCGGTGTGCAATCCAGAATGCTGAAATTTCAAATGGACAAGTAATGGAAATCGATACAAATAGCACTAAAAATTGTTGGTATAAGGTACACGTACAAGGTACCATGTAAACTTGTTATCGACATAAAATGACGTCTAATATTAAATCTTAAACTTATGCGATATGTGCAAATTTAAATCGATTCCTCGATCTACTGTGTCGGGTCACTAGTGACCCTATGGGAAGCAATAATGTTCCCATTGATCTAAGATTGAAAAGATCTGGCGATTTCAGATTCCATAATTAAAACAGGTAAACTAAAATTCAGACACCTCTCTAACTTGCTAGGATTATACCCTTTCACCGGCCACAATGGACAACAAAAGGATCTGAACAATTTTTAAAAAATTTAAAGTTACCGGAACCTTCATCTCCGAGCATGTAACCATGGCCTCCAACGCCATCAGATGAAAGGTCCTCACGAATAAGCTTGCAATTTGAACCGGTTCCGGAAATAAGGACGACACCTCCTTGTTAAAATGAAAACATGACAGACAGATAGAATGAAAAAATACCAGAACCTTAATGAGAAAAAATTAACAAACCAAATTAACCTTTATCTGTCGCAGTGAAAATGGTTCCAAGGCAGTCGTTGCAGACGTAAATGTGATTCGCAATTTCGGGTCTCACTCGACGAATTTCATTCTCAAAATCTCTAGCATTCTCATTGGAATCAATACCACTTAAAGCTAGACCCTAAAAATAGAATATACATACAAGAATTGGACAAGATAAGCAGCGGAGCGATTTTATAAAAAATACCTGTTAGTTTCATGTATTTAATAATAAAAACATATTTACCATTGACAAAAAATTTGTATTTAAAGGCAAATTCGCCTTTCTCAATGCCTCTTCTACTAATGCAATGACTCGAGAAACTGACTTTGAGAGTCCTATAATCTATAAATTGTGAATTAATTACGAGTATTATAAAAGACCATGTCTTATAAAAGCACATAAACACTACCCATTGGTTTAAATGAGGACCTCTCACTGTTGCGCATTCTTCTCCATCACTAGATAAGATGACTACTTCTGACGCAGATGCGCCTCTAATAAAAATGACAAAAAAACAAATCATTAAAGAATTTAATCGGAATCACAAAACACAAGACAAAAACCCTGTTCTTTTGAGACGATAGAAAGAACAAGCAATTGCAAGTTTGAATAATAAATAATGGATATACAAACCCTTCAACGCCACACAAAAAACCCCTCATATACTTTTAGTTAAGGCGCAAATAAGACTGTGATTAGGACAAGGTGAATAAATTCATTTAAACAAATATTTTAAACCATTTTTGCATGACTTAGAATCGCTGTTTTATTTATAAATACCAAATTTTATTTCATTATGAAATATAATTAAGCTCATATAATGACTTCTCAAAGTAATTTGACCAACACATATATCACATTTATATTTTCACATCAGCACTTTTTTAGTCTACACCAAAAGTTAACTCAGGAATTATTACTTAATACATGTGTTGACCAATTTCTAATTTAGAGATGTAGAAATTAATGAAGAAGCTGAATTTATGGTGATCAATTGCCATCCGAAAATGTTGGCAATAATATGGAATTGGCTCAGTGTGTAATAAATTTCTTAAGAAATTATCACATGGAATATTTGCTTTTTGCTGATTTTTAATATTGTTTTCGCTCTCATGCCAACGTTCATTTTATCATACTAAAGTCAATGTTCAAAAATTAAGTGGAGGGAGGTGGGAGATGGTGCTGAACAAATTTTCATTGTTACTCCAATATTATAATAGTTTCATTCAGAGAAGCAAGTTTTCATATAAAATAACACATGTTAATTAAATTAAACTTTAATTATTGCAATACTTCTCTTCGAGCAGTAGCCTTGACATGTGAATAGGTCTCGACATATTATAATGTTTGTGCTGTAGTAAATGTCTCACAAAAACTTCATTTAACAAAGAAAAAGTAATTATTAATTAAATGATTTCAATCGTGGAACATGACTTCCCGTATTCTTCGTTCTCAATATACTATTCACCAAGCTTTTTAGAGAACATTCGCCTGTTGTTATGTTTTTATCACAGATGCGTTGCTCTTTAAGTAAAATTTGGACTTTTCAAGTGGGAACGATTTCATGCACATTCTTTTGATTAAATAGTATTGAACAGGGCCAATTGAAAAATTAAGAGAATTATCAATTTTACCCTAAACGCGTCGAATTCACTCAGTTACGACTCTTTAATTTACTAAAAGAAGACTTAATTTTAATAAACATTTTTCATGCAACTTAAATCAGGTTCTTTAGTGACAAACTGATTTGTGAACTTCTAATAGGTATATATTAATTAAACCAATTTAAAAAAGCTGAATGTTTAACCATTACAGTTACATGTATTTTCCACTACAATGTCAATTCATTTATATCGTATAACAATAATAAATCTTCATAAAATTTACAAATACAAACTTATTAAACGTATTAAACAATATCTAATCTTAAATGGTTATGACAATATTATAAATAAAGTATCAATCGCGTTCCAGTCTCTTGTTAAAATAGTTCTCTTTTTTGACATTTCGACTTAGGATCGGATTTCCGATTGGTTAACACTCTTATGACCGTTTGGGCGAAATTCCAATTGTGTTTGAGCATGTCTAGTATACGCTTTATTTATGGATTTTTTCTTCTTGGTAAGCTTGATGTGTTTTGAATGCACTATATTTACCAACAAAATAATTCCGTTGAGGAAATTGTAAAGCGTTTTAGCAATATTTGATGTTTTCATTTTAATTAATTTCAAACTCTTTGATGCTTCCATTAACAGTTTCAAACTCAAAATATGATCGATTTTTAAATTGAATCAAAATTAATTGAAATTCTAATAAGTTAATTAAAAACACCAATTTTCATTGCACTTACCAGAACGATAATGAAAGTTTTTTCTACCTTCTCAGGATTATGTTGCACCGTGTGTGCTATTGACTTTATTCAAATTGAAATAACTCAAGCACCGCATATAATTGGAAATTTTAGTCTTAAATTCAATATGAATGGTGTAAGTTAAATGTTTTTTTTTGAAAATTTAAAAAAAACACAGGAAGAGGAACCATTAAAGTTCTCTACTATTCAAGTGAACAGTGCTAATGGGGGAGAATTCGAACTATTATTAACAGGTCCTGAATGGACGCTAAATTTCAATTTCACTAAATATCGTGAGAATACTTCTTTTGTTATTCGTAATATGAAAATAACAAATGGAAATAAGTCGTTTCTGGCTGATCCCTCTCCAAAATTCATGACACCATTAACGAAAAAATTCGTCTGTTCATCTAAGATCGGAATTATAATGGGAAATAACACCATTCTCTACATGGCAAATACAACTTTGCAAGCATTTAATGTGGAACCGACCGGTAAATTAGCATTTCTTGTGTGATTGACTTATTTTCTTAGACGAAGTTGAGATCTGTCCAAGAGATATGAAAATCGATTTTCCCATTGCCAAACTAACTGGTGCCACTGTAGGGTTGCTTATTGGAGGTCTAATCACGATTGTGATTGGAATGGCTGTTCGAAAACGGTTTTTCCCAAAGAAGGAGGCTTTATCTTAAAAGTATCTCATCCTTTCTTTCATGTGCTTTGTTTAACTTTCTAGAAATAGTCCCCTCAGCTATTCCTTTTACAACTTTTTCTTGATATTCTTCTTCTTATTTTGAGTACGTTTGTAACATATGACATTTTCATAACCGTCGAGTTTGTTTTCTTTTTGATATCTTTTAACTTAAACTCTTGTGTGGGGGGGGGGGGAGGATTGAGTATTTAAAAGCATTTTTAATGCAAAATTTTTCTCATAACATTGATATTAGAATAGTTTACATTATCCTCACCTGTTATTTTTACAATCCGCATACCCTCATTTTATACATACTGTGCAAATTTAGTCATAGATATTTTAACAAGTATTAATTACCGGTATAAAACGAATAGTCTCAGATGTAATTATCTGATGGTTCCAATTGTTTGTACTGGGAATTTGAACGAAATTAAAGCAGTATCGAACAGAACTAATTGATTGCTAAATTCATCGTGACCTTTTATTATTTGCCAAGGCAACGGCTTTTTAGTAGCATTAAAATTACCTCAAATCACCACTGTGGGCACTATTTAATATAATTTACTGAAGTGGCAGTTTTATTTTCAAAATGCTCCCTAAACGAACATGGATCCTGATTTAAGAGATAATAATTTTGAAAGGTGGTCGGTACTAAGTTATATTTTCTGCATCATGGAGCTGCCAAACCGAAGGTCGGAAAAAACGCCCCCCCCCCTCCACCTCAGTAAACATGTGATTGCATCTATTTTCTCACGTGTCGTTCATTTCCACTTCGATTTCATCGTTGTCCCCACATAAACTTGTGGGCTTCAGCTCAATTTCCTCTAATGAGAGCTGTCAAATTTCTCAACAAGCGATCGTACACAAATTCTGAATAGTATCGGACAATTTTACTTACTACTTCGCAAAATATTATTCAATGAACTCACATTAATAGTGAATAAATTGTTACTGGGGCATTATTAAATTTTAAAGGGAGCTGATTTGTTGCCAATCGTGGGTGATTTTTTGATAAAAATATAGCTCTCTTACTCCATCGATAGGGTTTTATTAATTTCATCGTTTATAGCCTTTTCAATGTCAAAGCCCTGCGGCATTAAATCAAATTCAAAGTGAATCTATCAAAGTGTTCTACGGGAGTAATGAAGAAATTAGCAATAAACCGAATCCTTCTCATATATATATATATATATATATATATATATACATCTATTCATCCAAATATTAATATTATGAATAAGCGAATAGTATTGTCATTTGTATTTAAATTCATGTATGAGTGAAAATTTTCATAAAATTGCCATGTCATTGGATTATCCATACTTTAGACCCTCAAGGAATACGACTTTTCAAGCTATTCAGAGAAGTGGAAATTAAAATTCATGCATGCAACTGTTCAAATTATATCTATTTTCTGAATACAAAATTGACAAACGAATCATGTGATGCTTCAAGGAGCATTTAAGGGCACCATACAGCATGATATGATACAAAATTTGAGTTTAGTGTACGAACGTACCAATGGAAAAAGGGGGTTTAAAATTTTACCTGAACAGATTTTTCCTATTTTGAAGGGCCTTCTCCATTGTAGTTGATAATGCAGCTTAATTTATCGGCTTATTTCAAACAATGGTAAAGTATTACCGTACAAGTTTCCAAAATCCGAGTTCACAAAACCACGATTCACCGATTAATGAGCAAATGAGATGACGAGAGAATAAAAACCACCGCCTTTTCTCTCTATGATTTAGGCGCAAAACTGATTCAAACTCTTTAAATCTTGACTAAATTTTTAGATTTTTCTAAAAAATTGGCATACTGTTAACGCATTTTTTCCTACTATCCTTATAAACATAGATGCACTGGATGGCATTAGATCACTTACTAAAAGGTTATAATTGCTCATTATATTTTTACCAAACCACTTTGCTGAAACGAAGTGAGAAAAGCTGAAAACAATTACCAAAATTTCAGGCGCTAAAGATATGAAATTCATTTTGACGTTAATATAAGGAACAACAATTTTTATCAAAATCAGCATTATTATTTTGTAGTCATTGACAAAGGCCAAAAAATGACCTTTGCTATTCATTTGTTATATTGACTGTAGGCGGATTGATCGGAATTCTGCGAGGAGTTGATTCTGCGGGAATGGTAGTTGACGCCTCGGGTAAAGTTTATGAGAAAGAAGGAGTAGAAGCTATTAATTCCTGCTTGACACTGCTCAACCTAACGTCGAGTAAAGTCAACTCAACTTATGAGAAATTATGGGAATCAATCCCCTCCTACCGTTTCATTGGCCTCTGTCCAGAAAACATATCCATGGTTGGGAGTCTGGTGGAAATGCAATCTCATCTCAGCTTTCTTTATGTGGATAAGAATGGCGAGGTAAGCTCATTTGGAAAAAAAGTCCTACGAATATCACCAGCAATAGAATTGATCATTAAAGGCACATTATCATAAATTTCCTTATTCGGTCTGTAACCAAGCGTATACGTGCACAGATTTTGGAGAAATCAAGCGAAATAATGAAAAAATTTTTTTAAAATTTATGATGAAATTTATATTAGTCTCGATATTTATTAATTATAGAAGCGGGAAATAGTATACTGCAAGCGAATCGTAGATTTACTGAAGATCCGAAGGCATTAGAAATTTAATAAAGCTTGAGTTAGAAGTCACCTTAGTTGGAACCTATTTTGCTGGTGCTTATAACTGCCATTTGGAACTGATTTTTTAGCCTCATTCCAATTAACACAAAAGCGTGTTAAATAAGCAAAATGCAAAGGGAGGTGAGGGGAAAGGAGGGGTGGGGGGGGTGGTATTTGAGTTTACCTTCGATCAGGCAATAACAGGCCATGTCATTCCGAGGTGAGTGAGAAGTTAAAATAATCCATATCTCACCTGACATTTCAATCGAAAAATTTTGTGTTTGAGTGATATGCTAAATCACCAAGGTATTCCTTTTCGAAATAAAATTATTGCATTCGGCTTTATTCAAACATTTGCTGTGGCGGTGATGAACATTTATTTCTGATTTTTCATTCGACACTAATTGATGCGTTATTGTTGAATTATATTTACATCAATTTTCAGCATTCCTTAGTGTGCCTGAAAGTGAATACAATATATACAGTTGCGTCCATACTTGCATTGATTCTCTTAGATTGAAATATTCCACCAATCTGATCCTGTTCTCCCCTTCCCCCCCCCCTTTAATGCCATATAAGTGGAACACTGAGATTTTCAAACAATTCTGAGATTACTTCGTAGTTTGAGCACATTTTTGCATTATTCTTCAATTCTAGCTTCTATTCACTTCTTCAGTGTTTAATACAACCTTGATCGCTTTTTATTCCAGACCAATTGGTCACTAAATATGGCGACCCTTAAACTGTTAGAAAAAGAATAATTCTCCTAAATCTCTAAGCGCAATTCATTTTTCATTATTACTGTTCTTAATACTTTGGAAAGAAGTCTTTAAAGATTTTCTCTCAAGATTAAATTAAAGCTTTCGCTGCTCCATTATCTAAATTAGATATTTCTTTAACAAATGAATTTAAGGACTTAAGTTTTTAGTATTTGTTAATATGTCACATAATTCTGCTCAATGTACAGAGCTTTTGGGTGGGGTAAAATATTTTAGTATTATTAATATTGTTTAATAAATTTGCACTTAATCGCTGCAAAATATACCTTATAACAGTATAACAAACTTACATGTTAATGCGCTCAGTAGATTTCAATGCTAAATTATTAGTAACTATCATACTTAACTATCTAAAGTAGCTCTATATTTACGCATTTTATTTTCACAGAAGCGTTGTCGGATTGTGATAATTTCACCAAGGACACCGTTTTCAGCTGATTTTCTGGCCATGGTACCTCGGAATGCATCACGTCCAACTAACATTTCGGAAGTAAAGGAGAATTATATGCGCAATACTACCAGCACGCCTATAATCTCCGAGTCGAATATGACCTACTGTGACAATAAAACACGAAAAATGGGTTTTTACTTAGATCCCATTGATAGAAAAGACCAACCAATGAGAATCGAACTCACTTGGCGACGCAAACCGGAGTACTATGAAGATAGCGAATTCGGGTGGAGTAGTGTTGGTGCCCATTTAGGAGTCCTCTCGGGAATCTTCAGTCTGGCTGAAGTCAAACTTCACTTCAATGGGACTTGGCTGCACGATAGTTATTCGGATTTCCGTAAGTTTTAATTAGCTGTCAGGACTGTATTACATTATAGATCATCATCTTAACCTTTAAAGGACTAAGAAAGGGTTATTGTTGAAAAAGGAATTATTTTAACCTATGGAGGGGTAGGGGGAAACATAAGTGATTACTCAAAATTATTCAGCTTCTCTCACCGTACTCCTTCAGTTTATCGCAACACTTGTTTCAATCACTCAACACCAATGCTACTTCCCTTCTCACTTAATTTCTGATTCCCTTCCCGTCCCTTTCAATTAGGTTTTCCCCCAAACTGTGGTTCTTAATTTTAGTATTCGTGAAGGCCTGTTGTTTGTCGCCTTTCTTTCGACAGTTCTTTCACTCTGTATGATAAATCTTGTAGACCGACTCATAAAGAGGGCACATTATGGCCTAGATTAGTAATAAAAATGTGATGATATGGTGTTCTTCCTAACTTTGTTTGACTCATTTTATCGAGATCACAAGAGAAGACGTGTATAATTGCAGCATCTTTATGTAAATGGGAAAATGCTTTGTAGGTGGCAGGCCTGAGAACTGTAGGCTGAAAGTGATTAAGTAGAAGAATAAAATTCAAACTGGAGATTTGTATAAAATGGGAAAATCATTATTAAGGTGGACGGGTTAGACATGCACTGAACAATGCAAAGAAGACGTAAAACAGTAGCTTTCCGCAAGAATATGTCAAATTCACTTTCTTTCTGTCTCAAACTATTTAATTATAAGCAAATGATTTATTTTAGCTGAAAGTGATTTAGTTGCTGTGAGTGGAAGATTGGAAAGATTTCGAGCTAGAGCGGGAGATTTTTATCAGTGTAGTTCAAGCCGAAACATCCCAATGACGACTTCTCTGCTGAACAACTCGGAAGCCAACCATTCCTCTTCCACCACCAGTTCCAATACAGTTTATGTTATTTTTACAACTCACAATATCAGACTACAGGCCTTTGGGGACTTCAACCAGAATAGCTTCATGGGAGCAGGTAAAAAATTGTATCCATTTGAAATGAAAAAAATATAACATGGATCAGAAATTAAGTTACTTCAATAGATAAGTTGATTAAAGCATTATAAGGGAAGGCACTTGTGATATAGCCACAATTATTGCCTTAGTAACTAATGTGAACTTGTTGGTAAGTCAAAGAGAAGAAAGTTTGTTCATTAAAGTCTGTCCACCTTCGAGAGCGAATAACAAGTAGTTCGTGTACTCACTGGGATGCACTTAAGGCAAGAATTAATCTTAAGATGCTTAACCAAAATTAAGAACAGTCCAAGATTAAGCCATGAAAAACGTTGGTTTTGAGCTGGTGGCAATTTTCTTCCTTCTTTTTGGTAGATTACCTATATTGGTACAAATTGTAATCCATTAAATGAATGCGGTATTAAGCTAACGTAAATTCTAGTTTCATCCCACAGTCGAGCGTTCTTATACGCTTGACACAGACGCACATTCACTACAAATAGTCAGTTTATAAGCTGAAATTTCCCAATTATAGTAGCGAAAGTCTATTGGAAGTAGTGAGGTATGTACCGCCAATTCCTCCTAATCACCATGAGCTTTTTTGCTTGAAGTAAATTTTCCTGTTTGACATTTCTGCTATTATTTTTAGTAAATTTTGGCTATCTTTAGGAGTTACTTGCGGGGATGATATACACGCCGACCACACAATAACCATCGCAATAGGTTCCACGGTTTGTGCAATAGTGCTTATTTCACTGATTGGAATAGTGCTGACTCGTCTCTACGATCGTGACAAGGAGATGCAGTCCTACGAAGTGGAATACTGCAAAATGACCGAAAAAGGTCTCCTTAAAATGGTTCCACCTCCCGCCTACCAAAGATATGAAATGAAAACCCTCAACAAACATAAACCAACAAAAATATAGCCTAATCGTGAAGGTTTCATCTTCCTAATAGAAAAGCTCAACCTCATTACTTAAAGATAATTTTATTAGACTATAATGACTCATTTTAACTTTAAATTTAAGGCTCTTTTAATTCCATACATATTTTGTATAAACACAGAAAATGAAAAAAAAATTGATCGTTCTTCAATACCATTTAACTTATTTCTGTTAATAAGTTGATGGAAACGCGATGGCAAGTGTGGGACTAATATAATCTACCATGCCTTTGCAATATTGTGTAGACCCAAATCAAAAAAAGCTTCAATGTTTAGTTGTAAAGTTTTGGATAAACAGGAACTGAGTAAATGGTAGATTTGTCCGGTATAAGTCGAAGTCATTTGTGCGGAAACCAACAATCAATAAATCATTGCAGAACACAGTCAGGTGGTCCAAAATATTCTTTCTTCTAATACCTAGCTCTTGTAAGCTCTTGAATGGCTGCGTTATTTGAGCAGACGAGCTTGAAATCTATGATCACTTTGATGCCAAAACTTGCGTGGACGTTCAGGGTGTCTTTCGCCTTTAAAAGCTAGAGTTCTTTCTAATAAGAGTCTACAATAAAGGTATCACAAGTAAAAATTAATAATTCAAACTCATTTTGGCAATAAATTTAATTTGCATCTCAGCATGTTTAATAAATAACTAGCATGAACAATTACAGATTTACTTAACTAGGCCTGTTCAGTTAGCAATTTTATGAAAGGCCATTTCTTTCGAACAATATTCGAAATTCAATTGGAATGCTTAGATTGTTGCGCATGCTACACAAATAGCTTTGATGAAATCTCAGCAACCTTTTCCGACAAACTTGCCTATTATAAGTTTGCTCCCGAGAAAAATACATAAGAAACGGTGTATATATGAAGTAGAAGGCATTTATTGCATGTGTTGACAAACCACAAACATAATAAGCCCTTAAATCAATGTTATTCAACGTTGCACAAGCCCATTTGACGATTGGTTGAGAGGTTTGTGTACATAAGCGGCACATTTCAAAATATTCTGAATAATGGGATTCATTTGATCGATCCTGATAGTTAAGTGCACTCCAAAAGATTTATAATTTAGACAACGAAATTTAGATGCTCATATTTATTGATACAAAGTGAGTACATTAGTGTACTTCATTTATCGTTTGCGGATTTCGGACTTTACCCAACTTTATCATAAAATTTTATAAATTTCTAACTGGCTTCGAACCGTCTTAGATCCAATTTACTATCCTATATTGAAAATTGATTGAATTTCTACCCAAATTGGATATGGAATATTTATCAACTTGTTATGAAATATACCTGAAATCGTGTAGATAAACTTAGATCTGTCAAGCGAAATACTATTGCATCAGTCCTGTAATGAGATTTGGGGCATTTCAATAAAATTATGATAAATATTTATCGCTAAATATTTGATGTTAATTCCATGGCGACCAATGCAAATCAGGTTTGCTTACATCATATAAACAATCTTTTTTAAGGTTAGTTAACTAACACGAACTATCACTTAATGTTCGTATTGCAAGTACGATTTGAAAATTGTTGGATGAAAATTTTAATATTGTAGCTTTTATTACTAAACGAAGACAAGCAAACTGTCAAAATTTTTCTTGAAAGTCGAATTTATCACCGGGGCTTCAGATACAGTTTCTGTAACTTGGGCCCAGGTTGCTTGAGACATTTATTTCTGCTGGAAGTGGAGATTCGAATTTGCTCACTTTTCATATTTACAGATATAATTCGTTTGCTTGTTAGCATATCACAGTTACGCATATTTAACGAATGAGTAATTGTATCACTGTCATTGCAGATGATATTAAATGTTTAGCAAGTGTAGGTCTTGAAGAAAGACAGTGAGCGGACAAAAAGCTTTTGGGGGGAACTTTAGAACTTGCACTCTTTCTAATCGTGTGCAGAACGTTAACAAAACATTGTGCCTGTTTTATTTCAAATTATAGATTGTTAATTGACGGATGGAGCTGTAGCTTTCTGCAAAGAACAGTAAGTCATTACTATTAATCACGAAGCCGTCGGAATGATTGAAAGAGTTGGAATTAGGAAGAGTGAATGATTATGATAGCTGAATTTGTGTAGTGCCGATCAAATTAATTTCATTGGTCAGAAACTTTCGGAATGAACGTTCGTTCAAACTACCATCACTCAACTGAATGCCATATTCGAATACTTTCACAGTACTCAACTTACCTTTTCTCTTTCTTTATGTCTGTCTGTCTGTCTCTGATACATCTGTGAATCATTATTCTGTCCCCCTCTCTATTTTTTTGTCACTTTGATGTTTCTCCTCTTCTATGTGAAGCCTGAAGTCAGCTAAAGGGCCAATGATAACTATCAAAGCGCCTGCCATTTGAAATAAATAAATAAATTGATAGGAGACAAATTGTCAGGATATACAATAAATGCCTTCCATGTCATGGGCTCCATTTTCCTATTTAATAATAATAATAAGAGCAAGCTTATTCCAGGCGATTTGCCAGAGAAGATTGCTGAGATTTCGTCAAAGCTACCTGTGTAGAAGTAGCTACAAAGTAATGAATTTGAGGTCTGGGAGTATGCCAACAAATCAGCCCATCCAAATGGTGGCTAGCCACTATGATGGAATTGGGGGAGGGGGACGCTTGCTTATAGAGAGGCCTTCAACTACTTGTTGGGTGTGAAACTATTACATTCTTACTGAAGGTACCCTCATTTACTGATTTTGCCTCTGTGAGAGACTACGTTATTAAAACATACTATTTCGTCATTCAAATAAGCCTACGTCCTCATTTCTGGAAACAGTCATTGTTTATACATGTTAGAAAAGTGTGTATTCGATTTGGAATATAAAGAATTGAAGTGGAAGTACCAAACCTTCATGATTTAAATACTTGTGATGAGGAAGTGATCATTAAGGAATGATCTTTAACACTTCTCAAGGAACGATTCATGGAATTTCAATAATAACGCATTAAAGGCACGATTCCAGCTGTCAAATAATGTATAGTTTCACAAAATCTTCATTTCTCCATTATGATCCTTTTATTGCACTCGAGATAGACTTACCTCCACATGGTGCATCCTGGACAGTGTATACTGATACGGCAAAAAGTCTATTAACCAGCAGCTGACTTTTGACTTTATATTACCATGACCCGACTGTATGTCATTTTCGACCACATCCACAGTACTCATTTTAACTTTTCTCTGCCTTGGTGTCTGTCTCGTTTACATCTTTGAATATCTCTTCTCCTACCCCTCTCGAATTTTTCTCACTCTGATGTTCCTTCCCTGGGGTGAGCGATAGACTTACCTCCACGTGGTGCACCCTGGACAACGTATCTTCGTACGGCAAAAAAGTCTATCACTCGGCATTTGATTTGACTTCTATTTACTATGATTAGCTTGAAACAAGGCTATAAGAAAAATCGCCCTCGTCAGGGCGAATCACAACGTCTTCAGATCCTCCAGTGGAATGCTGAAGGGATGTCACCGGACAAGAAGATCCAAGTCCAGAAAATCCTACAAACCTATGATGTAGACATTTTCACAATTATGGAAGCAAACATTTCGGATGACAAACTGAAGTACTACCAATTCCCAG